CAGAGCAATGCACTGCTGTGGATGGGCTGCAGAAAAACGTATTTGAGCCACATAAACAAGGCCCAGAAAATCAGTATCAGTTTAATGTATGATATAAAATACTGTAGACTGACCTGTACGCTTCCCAAATCTCAACAGCATGTCAAGCAAGCTGATTGGTGGCACTCTAGTCGAGACGTAGGTTTGTAATGAAAAAGGCACATAAATATCATACTTAAAGGGAACTTAAGGTATGTTTAAAACAGGACTGGCCTTTTCGGTAAAGTTATTGTTTTTGTCAATGGAGTCTAGTGGTTTTGAACATCGTGATATAATGACTGCGAGACTTTTACAAATGTATATTAAAAGTACGCTATTGCCCTGAAATAAATTGTAACCCGTGCTGACTGTAGCACTCTCGTTCAGTTTTCAAAAATCATTGTCCCATCAATCACCGAGACACAAAAACCTGTGACTGACGTTTCCCTTTGATATCTATTAGTACAAAAGAAATTAATATCTCTGAATAACCTCTCTGCATGTCCCCAATGTACAACCTAGAGAAGTACACCCTGGCCTTTTCTCTCTTGCTCCATCCATCATTCGTCTTACTCTTATTTGGATCACCTGCCTCCTTCTTCTTACTTTTCTTTCATACTTGTTTTACAGTATTTCCTCTTTAAATCTGCTTTATCTCATTCACCTTCTTCCTCCTTTTGTATATCTATCTGAATATCTGTTCTTTCACCTTTTCTCCAGGTACTCCTCCTCATCACGTCCTCCATCTCTTTTCTTTCTCTTGACTTATCTCCATCTGTTTCATGTCACCTTCGTTTTAGGCCTCACTTTGTTTAACATGTTCCTTTAAATACTTTTATCTCTGTTTCCAGCATTTCATTTGTTTCTGTCTCTTTCCTGACACCCTTTCTTTGGAACGCCGTTCACCCTCCTTTTCTTGAAAACGGTATTCTTCCTGCTCGACAAGTCAGCTGCGCATGATATTTTCTTCCTCCATTCTTCTATAATAATCTTTAACCTCTCTCTCTTTCTCTTTCTTTCTCTCTGTCTCTGTCTCTGTCTCTGTGTCTCTCCCTCGTCTCTCATCTGGGTCTCTCTTCGTTCTGTCTCTCTGCTCTCTCTCTCTCTCTCTCTCTGTCTTCCTCTCAACCCCTTCCTTCATCCTTTCCCCCAGTTATCTCCCTCTCTCCATCTTTGTGTAATGTTCAGAAGTTCAGCATACAAGACCTCTGACGTGTGTATGTGTGTGTGTACTCAGAGCCCAGAATTTCCCATAATGCTTGAGTCAGTGGCGATAACAACCAACTGTCGCTGACAGACACACACACATACACACACATCCACATCCACATCCACACAGTGGCTTGGCAGTGAAACGAAGGAGACACACCCCACCATGCACCAGT